TGCTGCGCTACCTGGATCGAACGATCTCTCCATGTTCCCATTTACGCGTAGTACTCGCGGAAACGATTGATGTAGTAGGAATGTTTGATCCGGCGAAACTTCGATCGGAGTGTCGCCCACGTAAGCGATGGGTGCTCGTGCTCATCGATGTAATCGAGAACCTTCGATATGTATTCGTGAGTGAAGTAGTCTCGATCGATTCCGAAGTTTTCGTACCCAGGAATGTATTCCTCATCATAGTACTTGGACTCGTAGACTACCTCGATCTGTTCCATTTCCGAGACATCCGCGTTCTCGTAATATTTCAGACTCTCGGACACAGCATCAGCGATTTATTCCCCAAGAAATCGCGGATTCTTGAGCACATGGTCGCTCGAATTCAGGGAATCGAATTCCTTCCTGAGCAGACCCATGATTGATTCAACTCTGGCCGACATCTTCGTTTTTCAGCGCTTCCGAATTCACAAAACTAGAACAACAGGTTCTCACAGGTTTAAAGGGAAGCTCGATTACGCGCGCAGCAGCAGCAGTGAAGTGTAAACGAGAGCAGTAGAGCTCGAAATCTCTCTCAATATTGTAGCGGGGTTTTTCTAAAGGGAAGCTCAGGACGGACGTTAGGGCTAACTGCTGGGACGTGCGAGGACAGGGGAAATTCGGAAGACGGGCTCACCACAACACGGTGAGATGGATCGAAGAAGCGGACGCGGGGGCTGCGGAGGTGGACGGGAACTCGGGGGCCGGATAGGGCTGAGAACTCGGGGACGCTGGGACTGGGCACAATAACAACACGCAACTCGGTTCAACTCCCGATTACGAGTGACTATTTCCTCTCCTCGCGTCGGTCTTTATTCTTTCTCTCTCTCCCAATTACGTGCACTTGGACTGCACTGCCGTGCCCGACGGCGGCGCCGCTCTCCGGCGCGGTCTCCGCCTCTGATCTTAGACCCCAGCACACATGTCGCCTGCTACAATGTATCTCATCTGCCTTGGTTCCTCCCGAGTCGGCAGGGCGCTCTACAATCGCGCGCTCACTAGGTCTGCCCACTCCGGGTTCCCCTCGGACATCTGTTCTCCATTTACACAACCAATCTGCACTCCAGGTTCTTCTCCAAGGCTCCCATGTGCATTGCACTGAAACACCGTCACAATATGGCGTCGTAGCGCCAAATTCGAACCGGCGCCTCTTCAAGTAGTGCAGGATAAAAATATATATTCTGAAAATATATATTCCGATATATTCCAACCGATCTCGAGAAAAGTGCGTATGGATCGATAATTCTCACCATTTTTCATTTCCCCATAGGCTCAATGCTTAAGAGCCGATTTTCGGTGGGTCCGTAAAGACCTTCAATCTGTCCATACACAGATAATATTTTAGGGTTGTACTACACTCTGGTAGGGGATTCTTTTCCCATAGGTCTCGACTCAATCGGCGATCATCATGTTCGTGACCCCCCTTGTAAGAAGAGCAGAGCTGGCAGTTGAATACCGCGATCTCCCAAAAAGGGCACGGAATGCGCCTCCAGATATCGAAGGAAGACAGTACTAGTCATCTAACCGAAGTCGGATTTCAAGAGGTAAAATCCTTCTCGGAGCCACTCGACGAATGACGGGGGGGGGACACGTTTCCGACGGAGGAGAATGGCTGTCGTCGCTAGCTCGCCGGCGGCGGATCCGGTCACTAATACCGTCACGCGGTCATCAGGAGAGCCGCCATGGGATGGCACATTGCGAGTCAGGGGGTAACGCTCATTAGCACACGCTGGTCCGAAGCATTGTCTTCGGACCAGGGTCTTACCCTTGTGTTGGATATGACCCTTTGGGGGTCAGTCGGTAGACTCTGGATCTGAAAAGAGGCTGTGAGGCTGGAAGATCACGGCAAAATGAAGAAACAGGGATTCGGTGTGAATGAGTAACTCCTCGTCGTGTGAGTCTTTATTACCAGTATATGTATATACCCAGGTGGAGAGTATCACTATGATTACCGACCCGGAAGCGGAAGTCTTTCGGGGTCGTGCATGAATACTGATCTGGAGGCGGAAGTCCTTCAGATCAGGGTCTTTCCGAATACAGAACCTTGCCTAGATGCTTTCAGTAATCACACTGAGAATATTACAGCTACTCTACAGAAAACAGTGTGTATTTCAACATCCTTCCTTAGATGGAACAGTCCAAGGATGATTACCAGCGAGTACTAGCTGTTGTTAGCATCTAATCTGGGGCAATGCTCTAGTATACCTCAACACCATTCATTGGTATAGAACTTCAATTTATTTTATTAATGGTAATCACAGTTGATCCATGTCCATGTACTGTTAGGCATTACAAAGTTGTCAACTGTGATCTCCGTGAGGACCCTCTCAAAGAGGTGTTCAATCCGGTCCCTCGGTTGAAGTTCTGACTCAATCTCACGACCGTATTCGTGGATGGTGACTGCCTCGACCATATCTGTTAAGATGGATCGAATGTAGCCCCTTGCGGTGGCTGTTACTCAGTCCTTGTAGATAGGCCAGGTCTTCAGGTCCCACACATCCTGGATGACCAATGAGTCGAGCACGTGTCCCGTGCGTTTGTAGACTTCATTTGTGTACGCCGCTGTAAAGGCGTACAGACCACAGTCTTCGTCCCAGGCGTATCTCTCTTCTTTGGACATCCTTTTGTACACCTTTGAGATACGATCGCAGAAGATTGGGTACGTTGTGGTCATGGTTCGTCGCTTGAAGCGCTCCTTTGAGAAAGCGTCCCATCGTGGGCCCTCAAAGAGCTCGTGGTGAATGATTGGCATTAGATGGACGCCACTGTCCTTCGGGCATGACGGGCTTGAACACACACATGGCAATCTGGGATCGTCACAGTCCTCGATCCTGGGCGACACTTTCAACAGATGATCATCGTAATAGATCCGTGGGAACATGCTGAAAATTTGCATTACAAAATTATCAACTGTAATCTTCGTAAGGACTTTCTCGAAGAGGTGCTCAATCCGGTCCTTCGGCTGAAGCTCTGACTCAACTTCACGACCGTATTCGTGGATGGTGACTCCCTCCACCATATCTGTCAAGAGTGATCGAACGTAGCCCCTTGCGGTGGCTGTTACCCGTTCTTTGTAGATGGGCCAGGTCTTCAGGTCCCACACATCCTGGATCACCCACGAATCAAGCACGTGTCCCGTGCGTTTGTAGACTTCATTTGTGTACGCCGCTGTAAAGGCGTACAGACCACAGTCTTCGTCCCAGGCGTATCTCTCTTCTTTGGACATCCTTTTGTACACCTTTGAGATACGATCGCAGAAGATTGGGTACGTTGTGGTCATGGTTCGTCGCTTGAACCGCTCCTTTGAGAAAACGTCCCATCGTGGGCCCTCAAAGAGCTCGTGGTGAATGATTGGCATTAGATGGACGCCACTGTCCTTCGGGCATGACGGACTTGAACACACACATGGCAATCTGGGATCGTCACAATCCTCGATCCTGGGCGACACTTTCAACAGATGATCATCGTAATAGATCCGTGGGAACATGCTGAAAATTTGCCCTTGTGGGTTGTTCATGTAAAAGAAGTTCTTCGTCATGGTGGCTGTCTGTTTCCGAAATGATTCAGGTTTGATCCTTAGATACATGCCGGATGGAAAATGGAAAGGGATCGAGAGGTCGAGAACCTATCGTGTGCCTGTTGTTTAAAAAACGCCTGAAAATGAGGCGTTCGGGTGCGTTTAATCCGAGTAGTTGTTCTATCGGCACCTCTTGGTGTAATTCATTGTCTCTCGGTACAGATCAATCATGTCCAAGAGGCGCTGAGTCCATTCTCACGGGACGGGGCTTGTTTATGGTTCCGAGAACTCGATAGCTGACCGCCCCGGGAAATGTTTTCTCAACGCCATCGCTTGTTCCGCTCTTGCTTTGTTCTAGAGCGCGGAGTTCGAAAACACAGCAGCAACCGACAATCCGGATCAGTTCACTGCCCGGACTTCAATCGCCTTATTCCTCCAACTCCGCACTGAGAAAATAAATTCTATCAAAGCATTGTAGTGACAGCGCATCCAATGCCCTCATTGGAATGTTAACCCCAAGCTCATGTTTGGATGATTACTAATCTAATGATCAGTCTAACTGTACCATTTCCACTCTCATCCGGAAGACCCTCCCTTAAACTAGTCCCTTTTATAAGAGGACGTTTCATTCTGTGTCTGAATCTCGTTCAGAAGGCCTCTGCCTGAATTCACCACTTAGCTCCCAAAGCCAATCTTCATGATGAACCTGTCTCCAAGTGAAGCATTTGCCCTGTTCCCTACTGGTCCTGCTGACATGGTGCAGGATACTCCGCCTACCAATGAGCAGAGCGTTGTTCAGGTTAACGTTCACGAGACAGCATTGGTGATCGAATCCTATACCCGAATAGATTCGGATAGGGTTATCCGCATCGAGAATAACCTGGAGCTCTACAGGGGCGATGTTATCTCGCGGACTGACAATCCTCAACTCATTCACAATTTGTCCGGGACCGTCCGTAAGGTAAGACCGTCGTAGGTCAAACTCGCCGGAGACAAAAAGATGCGCGATCCACTCAGCTTTCCAACGCCACCAAGAAATCCGAAATAGGTTCAGCCGTTTAGCCGCAATCGCCGATTTTGTGGAAAATTTTCGGGGTCACGGGGGTCGAACCGAGACCCGGTGATAGTCTCAAAAGTTGCCTCTTAGGCCCAATAACCCACCATAAAAATTTCAGCGAAATCGGTGCAGCCGTTCCGAAGTTATGATTTTCCGTGGTTTCCGACCACTGTGCGTCGATTGGAAGCAATATTGGGAGCTCGAATTAGCTCCATTGGATTCGCGAGCCGAAAACAATCGAACATTCGGGATATATGTATGAGAATGGACAGATTTCGAATTTATTCGCATTGTTTTCACTCGATTGTGGACTGAGCCGAGAACCGTCTCAGCCCAGAGTGTCAGTTTCTCTCATAGAGGGCTCTTCCGAATTATTTCGAATCGATTCCAACACTATTCTGAATCGGAACCATTAGCGTCACAATTTTTCAGAAGGTATTGCAAATCTTCATCAAGCTCATATTCGGTTTCTGGCGATTGCGACCCGAAAGATCTGATGTAAGGATCCGAGAGAACCAACATTTCATGGAATACATCCTCATTGGTCGTCGATCTCGAAATTTTCCGGGAGTGTCCGAGGCGGTTCCCTCGATGCAGGGTTGGGGAAAATCATAATCAAACCTATGACTATGATTATAATCACAGATCGGATTTTTGTGACTATGATTATGATTGTAATCATAACCATAATCATAATCACAGGCGTAATCATACCCGTAATCACAGTTTCTAGCACCACAGGGTACAGGATTATTCAATGATTAAACATAATGATGATTGAGATTGAAATCATAATTCATAATCATAATCACAGGCGTGACCATACCCGCAGTCACAGCTTCCAGCATCGCAAGATTCCGCGCAGACGAAAAAATTTCCCGGGCTTCGCGCTGAGCGAGCGGAAGGTCAACTTCCAGGCGAGTGATCGCGACACGGCGACATCGACGAGGAGAGCCTTCGCCTGAGCCGCAGGAGGAGAAGGAGGGGGATCAGGGCGAACCCATGCAAGAATCGAGATCCAGTATGCCGAAACCCCCCAGATACATACCTATCATCCTCATAACCCGTGTCTTGACGGAAATCCTATGATTACGGGTATGATTACGGCAAAATCACAGGATTGCTGTGATTATGATTATGATTATGACTCTAATCATAGTCATACTTGTGATTTTCAGATATCTGTGATTTTGACTATGATTTTAATCATAGTCATAGGTTTGATTATGATTTTCCCCAACCCTGCCTCGATGAATCTTATTCATGGCCTCTTGGGCTTCCTCGCTCAGTGACCCGATAGGAACGGACAAAGCTCCGACCGATCTCATTATGTAACTTCCATAAACGAGGACTGATGAGTATTGTCCGTTTCACCTTCCGCTCTAGATACTGAAGACCTCAGTCTGTAACGGTCACTGGCCGGTCACCACTTAACCCGTTCACAGTGTTTTCAGTATGACCCACATTCGGATGCTCTTCTGTGTTCAACCCTTGATTGCATTGAGTATGGTACGGAATCGCCCGACTAAGCCCTCGTCCAATTCCGTGATATTGGCTGTCGCGAGGGGATCTTCGAAGAAGCGTCGTGTTGCCGTCGTTTGTCGTCCCCATGCCCCGTTGCACCCTATCGACTCTCAAGTCCGATGTCTCTTGAAACTTCCTCTGGATCTATCCTTTGGCCTCTGCTCTCATGGCTTTCGTCTCCTCGGTGGTCGCACGCCAGCGCTTGAACTTGGAGTTGTAAGCGATCTTCAGCAAGCACTCCATTATCTTTATTCTAGCATGCAGGGGGGACATGGAAAGATATTCATCCGGCCCAGGCTGCGCTTTCGCATACATCAGGTCCAAATCGTTCATCTGAGTCGGCTTGGTGCCGCGAATTCGCAGACTTTGCGAGTAATAAGCGTTCGGCTGTGTGTTCAGGGAGACTTTGCGTTTTGACGAGCGCGTACGTTTCGGTAACTCTTATATCTTTGCGATAACATGTCTTCTCGGCAACTCTGATATTGTTGTGGGAGGGAATGACGTCCATACCGCGTTTTTTTAATTTCGTTCTGAGGTATTGGTACTCGTGCTTCGTCAGATCCAGATATTGCTCTATGACGAGCGCTTCCTCCGGACAGAAGGGCGGATGTTTCACCGCTTTACGTAGTAGGTCGGGATTCATGCTTTCCTGGATTTCTCTGATTTTCCTGCTCTGACTCCTAGCGGCTAAGTCGTTGAAGTCCTTTCGCGGGCGACCGCGACCCCGGCCGCGAGGCCTCTACGGATTCCCGGGGTCACCCGTGGATGTCTCGGTAGCGGAATCACCCTCGGATTTTCCGGTACCGGGATCACCGTCAGACGTTCCGGTATCTTCGCATGAACTCTTGGGCAAAACTCGGATGAATAATTTTCTCTTCAACCAGGCTTTGCATTTTCCTTTCATGCGTTCTATACTCCGGTTGTTCTTATTCAGCTTTTTCCTCAACTGGGGACGGAAGTTCTGCCCGAGGAAATGTCTGACTTCTCCTGGAAGCTCCTGTAGTATGTTCAGCTCCAGCGACCCGGCTTGTATTGCTCGCATGATTGGCTCGAGCTCCTTTCCGTTTTGAATGGCCACTTTGAGCAGGAGGGATTTCGATCATGATTGTTCCTCCGTGATTACTCAAGCGATCCGAGTGATGCGCTCACCCACGTGATGTATTGAGGAGGTGATCCAGCGTTGATTTCGAAGGTCCGCGAATGATCCGCAGCCTTCCTGTCCAGACCACGAAGGGGTAAACCTTGATCACAGTCAACGGAGTAACAGCGCCTAAATTTTCTCTCGTGGTATCACTCGATGTTCAACGATGGAGACGGTCACGGAGAATGATAAAGTGTTCGACTGTTTCTGCCGAGCATTCGCTGAGGATGCACGTGATCCCAGCGTGGAAATCGATTCGGAATGACTCGGAAGAGCTCTCTGTGGGAGAAGTTGACACTCTGGGCTGAGTGGGTTCTTGGCTCACTCCACAATCGAGTGAAAACAGAGCGAATCAGTTCGACAACAGTCTATTCTCATATATCCCTCATGTTCGATTGTTTTCGGCTCGCGAATCCAGCGGAGCTCATTCGAGCTCCCAATATTGCTTCCAATCGACGTTCCCAGCCCTCGGGTGTCGGAAATCGCCCTGCTGGTGCTTTCGATCGCGGTAGATCTCTCGCGTTTTTCATTTCCAGATAATATACCGTTCCAGGTCCTCGAACTTTGCTCGGATCAAATTTCTGAGTCGAAATTCGGATTCCCGCGGAAATTTTAGGTCACCTAGGTACTCTTCCCGTCATCACAGACCACCTAAAACTTTTTCGGGCTGATCCACACAGCCAAGGTTTAACGTCCCGGGTACTGTTATTCACATTGCTTCCGAGGACGGATCCATAGAGCAAATGTACCCAGGAGGATCAAGGCCGAGTACCTGCATATTTTTCCGGCAGCAGGGATCGAACCCACACCGCCTCCCGCGCGAGCGGCGTCGTTGCGGCTATGCACGTTTGCACGAGTCGTGACAAACGCGCTAACCACTCGACCACCCGTCGGTATCACAGACCACCTGGGACGCTTCAATCGTCATCCGTTAAATAGAAGGTATTTCGGCCGCCGCTGGCCCACTGTGCGCCCCCGCATTCCATGAAGTTCATATTGGGCACCCCTTCTGGCATCATCTACCTTTAAATCCGGAAAAACCCTTGAAATGGCGTTTTTCCATGGATGAAAATTTCATAAAATTAATTTCAGGGCATTTATCCGCTAGATCGATTTTATTCTTATAGGGAACCGCGCAAATCAACTCGGGAATTCGCCGCCAGCGACGCCATCTTTGGCGCCGCCGCGGCGGCCAACACTGACGACGACCACACTAACACACAACACTAGTCGGGGTCGGGGATCAGAAGCAACTCAACATCCGGAATCATATCGAATTCTTTCACTGGCAACTCCATTCAGTGCTTGTAGACGAGAGGATCGGAATGAGCAAACAGCCTCTGTATCACATCTCGATTCACTGTCACAGGCTGGGCCTTGAACGAGAATTTCTCCCGGAAGCTCTTGAAAAGTTTGTTCGAAGCCTCTTGAGCCTCCTCACTGAGACTCCCACGGGTTGCGTGCTGTTCTCCACAACATCTGCTCCGCGGATCAATACCTTGTGCACCGTCACGGGCATGTAGTACCAGGGGTAAAGCGAGACGAAGAGATCCGCGGTCTTCGAGCAGTAGTCGCAGAAAGCCGCACAGTTCAATCGACGACGAGAGTTGATCGTTTCCAAAATGATGTGCAGTCTGTAGACCAAGTCTGGGTCTACAGCTTTTTACTCGGTACACCATGGATCACGAGTATCCGAGGAAATCGATGATCTCCTGGAGCGTCTTGCCTTCCGACAAGCAGGCAAGGACCGCGTCGAGTCTCGTCTCTTCCCACAGGTGGTTTCAGCTTGGTCCGTGTTGTTCCTAGATTGGTCGAAGGCTAGGTTCGGTAGATCAGCGAGACACGTACGAACTCAAAGAGGACAACCGGAGGTTGAGAGGGAAGCACACCACAGTAATTTTATTAGAGGAAGTGTCGTCTTATATATCAGTAGGTTGACCCTCTCCGAGAGGCTCTGTTTGTAAGGTATCGAGTAAGATTTTCAGATGGTTACTAAATACGGAATCAGAAGAGAGGCCTGATGAGTGGAGCCTCTGACATGTGTCAGAGCTGGAGCCTCTGGCACGTGGCACAGTACGGAGTCGGGGTTCACCGAAATAGATACGACAGAAAGCTTAGCTTAGAAGAATGAGTGTAGCTATTCTAATGTTAGTCTCAACATCCTCCCTAATAGGTAACATCGAAAGCTTCTAAGCGAAAATTCGGACAAGTTGGTGCGAGGGTAGGGGTAAGATGAATGATAGTTTCGAGTTAGATACTACTTTGCCATGCGAGAATATATGCGAATAATTCGTACAGCGTTGATTCGAGTCCGTTCGAATTTCGATTTGTCGTCGAGAAAGTTCGCGGAGATCGGCGGCGGCGGGGGAGCACTCGCTCGGAGTGTCTGGATCATTCGGATCGGTGTTGCGAACATGGTGCAGCGAAGCGCGAATGCAGCTGAGAAGTGATTCTCCCAATATCTCGGCTCCCGAGACACTGAAGAGTAAAGGCCTCAGCCTCAGCGGCATTCCCCTCCGAGTCAGTCTCGAGGGATCGGAGTTGAAATAATTTTTATAAAGCTGATTTAGATCATTTTCGTAGCTTCGTTTCCATTGAGTCAGGATGTTCCGTGAGGGAAAGGTATTTTGACCGTTAGATTTCAGAGTTGTAATTGATCTTCTGGGCTCATTCCTTCGTTGGCTTGCTGAGTCCACTATGACTTCATCCGTGAATTTTCTCTGAATTTTTTTTGTTTCGACGAGAAGGGAAAGTTCTCGGTTTTGTCATGGTTGAAACGCGCTCTGGTCGCATTTATCGTCCGAGTGATCGGAGGATTGGATTCCGTGGTCTTCGTCGTGAAGAAGGCATGGAAGACATGGAGTCTATTGAGTTGGGCTCGATCGATCAGAACGGTGTTGTTGAGGATGCCATGAGCAGGGATTCGATGAATTTTGAAGTTCGTGTTCCGACTCGCCGACCCTGTCGCTTATCTTGTTGTCGGATTTCATCGTTGGTTTTCATGCTGTTGTGGATTGCCGTCGTCCTCGTGCTTGGTAGTTGTCCATTTGTCCACTTCATTTTCTAGTCTGAATTTGGATGGTGTGCGATGTGTGTATATGTATGCAAAGTTGGCTGATGTATTTGTTTTCAGCGAAAGGATTTCATTATCGACGCGAGGAGATTATAAAGACGTCCACGACCACCGAGACGGTGATTATGTTCAGTACGACGTCCGCTCCTTCCACAACATCGATGAGTCCGGCGACCTCCAACTCCAACGCTCCTAAACATGCGATTGAACTTAATCTGTTAGGTTATGTTTGTCGTCCGCTTCTTTCGGAGCTTGTTCGTTATTCGTTCGATGATCGAAGATGTGTTCGTTTGTCGAGTTCGACGAAGCCTGAGTCGGTGAACGTTGTGCCGATTTCAGATATTCCTTTGATGGAATGTACTTATTATACTTTGTTGAAGTTCGTAGGGGTTGAACTCCTTGATGTTTTTGAGACAGAAGAAAAAAGTATTTTTTTTTGTTTTGATGTGTGTGATTTTCAGTTGTCTGACCAGTAGTTGTCTTCGTCTTCTATTGAATTCCACGCTGTAGGGGTCGAACGGCTCTGTCTCCGTAATTCCTCATCGGATTGTTCAGGAGCGGGTATTTTGCTTCTGAGCTTTTGGATGTCTCTTTCTGTTATCTCTTTGTATTGCCTGTATTGTTCTTTTAATGATTCGTTAGCTGTTTTCGGGATCTGGCGGACACTGTCGGCTGCCTCCCGGCTGCGATGTTTCATTCATGGCCCTCCCGCTCGCGACTAAGGAGCGAGGATTCGAGGACATTTAGTCTTACAATCTCTAATTGATAAAGTTATTTATCCAATTTAACCGATTCTTATCGAGGAAGTTACAATTGGAACTTTCAGTTCATAGATTGAACTCACAGGCGTCGTTCCGTGTGCTCCTCAAAACTAACCGACCGAGACGACCACTCGTCGATAGGTTCGCGAGATCGCGGAGAGTTAGACTTGATCCGCTGTCGGGTACGTCGTCTATTGCTGGTAGTCTCACTTGAAGCGAGAAACGTCGTTGTGAGATATCAGCGACCTCAGTGTAAATTGTCAAGTATTCTACTCGAAAATGAGAAAATCAAAAATGCTTACTCGGTGTTTCTGCGGCGCTCGCGACCCTTAGCGACTCGATTTCGACGAAACGTCGCCTCGTTTCGCACTCATAGAAACGGATTTGAAGCAGGTCATGTGTGAGTTTGGCCACCTCTGGCTCGAGCAATTGATAGAGAAGAAGCGATTCCGGGCTCGCAATCGTTCCGACGACGTCGCACGCGAATTTGATGCGAGCCTGCTGGGTTTCCTGGCAGAGGGCCTCGTCAGGCCGAAGCTCGTGCAACCAGAAGTCCGAGACGGTTTTGACAGTGGTTCCCTCGATCCTCTTCGATACGAAATGGAAAATCAGAGAGAGCAGCTCGCGGAGCTCGATGACGCTCACGTCTGCCGATTTCATTTGCTCGATCAAATCCGAGTCGAGTGGCCCTGTTTCTTCTATTTCCGAACAGCGAGCTGCGAACATGAGTTTGGAATCTATATGGTCCTTATCGGAAATGAAGGCGTTGGGGTCAATAAGTACTTCGTATATATCATGCTGCCAACTTACCCGTCACCGGACACAGCGCGACTACCGCCTTATTCACCATCTCGCGAAAAGTCGACAGATCTAGTGCTCTCCATGTGGGGGGCTCGAGCAAACCTTCAAAGAAGCTGAAGAAGTCTTGAAGCATTTTCATGTTGGTGAGCCCAGGCATGATCACTGTCTTCATGAATCGATGCATCTCGGAAATCGTGAATCTCTGGTTTCGTCTCCAGATAGCCAGTAGACTGAGGGCCCCGTAGGGTACTGCTAGACATGTCCTGATCAATACGGCGACTTGGTCCCTGGTGACGGGACACCGTGGGTTCTGTGAAATGGCGAAAGTTTCCGTCTGAGAATCTGAATGTGAATTCGATTGAGGACCGCGCGAAAATCCTTCGTCTCGATTTCAGCACTCATTTCCTTACCTTGTCGGAGAAAAATTTCACGCTCAAACGGGTGCACATGCGCTCCATTCTGTCTTGCGCTGCCTTGATTCGTGATTTCGTTGTGCTCTGTGGGTAGATAATATGTAGGCAGTAAGCTATATATCCCCACCTCGTTACTTTATATATATCGAAATCAACGATTCTCACCGGGAAAATCCGGAGTCACGGAGCGTGACGACGCTACGACTGTTGAATCTCCCACGCCGGAATGAATTGGAACTCAAACAATCAACGCGCAGACGCTCCTCGATCTCGAAAGATTTTCGCTCTACTGGCAAGAGGTTTCGGCTTCCAGACGACAACGATCGGGATTGATATTCCTACATTGTGGGAGCTGTAGGAATAGCCGATTGTTATTCTAGCAATTCCAGATTGTTGAAATCACAATCGAGGGATTGCGATTGTCATTCCTACAATTACCAAATTGGAACTTTACCAATTTAGAATCGTTAGTTTGACAATAACGATCCGATTCTAGATTGGAATTTCTTCAATTCCAGATTGTTGAAATCACAATCGAGGGATTGTAGAAATTGCTCGAAAATGGGTATTTTGCCATGAAAATGGGTCATGAGAGTCATTCTGCACACCAATTCCCAGTCCTCCGACAGTGCATCTCCTTATGCAGGCATAATCAAACATAATGGAGGACTTGGATATATTTTTAAAATTTTTCGGATTTGCCTTCCGATTCCATGATGGCCATCGGTGAGAAATCATGTTCGGGATGCCGAAAATATGGTACTCGACGGGGAAAACGAGCTGGAAACAGCGTCAAAACTCTCTGAATCGTGGTGAACCGAATCAATTATTGCCCAAGCGACGGATAATCGACCTCTAATGATTCCTTATCACAGTCATGGATATCGGAAGGCAGACCCGAGAAAGAAAATATATCCAAATGAGGTGAGTATCTCCAATGTTGCTATGTTATGTTGGCAGTCTTACCTTGGACATGGTTGGGGTTCGATTTGGCCTCGTTGTCGTCTGGCTTTTTCTCTGTATGGCTTTCTCTGCTCTTCGGTCATTTTTCGCCATGGTTCGTCAGTTACGATCTTGAGGGTCTCTATATCAGGTATATTACGTTTTTTTCCTAATATTCCAGCGCGAATATCCAATATGGTTGTGGTTCACCCATTTTCTTCTGCTTTACTGTTACCTGGTTCATACTTGGTTTTTGTCAGACCACAGCAAGAGACACTCGAATTAGAATTTTAGCAGTTTGAGGTTTGGATCGGGGTATGGGTTGAAGCCGGGCCTGATCTATGATTAAGCGATTATGATCTTAATCAAGCTGGGATTGTTGTTGATTGGTATGGGAAGTCAACGACATTTTCAATGCTATCGCTGGGGATTGTTGGTAGGAGCTCATAAATGGTTCGGGAACTGAAAACCATGCACAGAGTTGTGATCGCAATGATCAGCGCGAGTGCGAGTACTGCACTGCCGATGGCGAGGGCCATGTGCAGCATTTGATCTCGATTGCTGTTGTCTGGCTTCTCTTCAGGATGAAATTTTTCCTTGAATTCTAGTCAGATAGATCCGTCGCCAGCACTGTCTTTCAGACTCAGGGCACTCAATTGTCTCCGGAGAAGAACTAACAGCGGTTCCGCGGACACCGACATCTCTGAGGGAGCTCGTTTGAGAAATTTGGACGCGGAACTACTCGGATCGCAGCTTCAGTCAATGCGCACCGGTTCGATCAGACGATGCCAATGGCGCGCAGACCGAACGCTCTAGAATCTATACTGATGCTCGTGACCTGTCTCAACTAGATTAAGTATTACACGGTAGTGGTTGAGGGCGTCATGTTGATTCGATTAATGAGATGTACTTCTAATCACTCTCGAGGCCTTCAATGTCGGATAACCCACTCAGAGATGTCTCGAGATTCCTGATTCTCTCCTCTGCCTGCTCAATTTCCTTGGCATGCTCACATTGACCGCGGTACGCTGCGGTGAGCTGCTTGACCATGTGGGAGTGCATGCGGCGATGGAATCGCATGATTGCCGCCGCCTCTGGATCATCATCAGAAGACACCCATGGTTTGGAACGACGATGAGTAGCCTCATTCTCGAAGGTTCCACGTTGATCCGGGGTCGGGAGTGGCCACAGTTCACTGGCCTTGGTCACTGCTTCACTCATCGAAATTTTGTGCTGGCGTTTCATGCCACCCACAAAGAGCCAAAATGCATCATTGTACAATGGACTTTCCGGTCTAGATACACAGCTTGTATCGGGGGTTTGCTTCGCGTGGCTCATCTTGCTTCGTGGAGTCACTACTGAGAAATGTGACCACAGAGAAACTAGCGGAAAATATGTACGCAGGACAGAGGATAAGGCAGAGGATATCTGAAAGAGATATTTCCTAGGATTGGTCTGAAGTCGGACAATGATTAGGACCATCGACTGTAATCTAATTAACATGAGAAAGTTCCGATCTACGCTTACACCTAGCAAAAGGAAATTGCATGAAATCAGGTGAGGGGGCGAATTTATTGGTAGACTCCGTTTTCGAACGTGTTGAGCTCAACCCCGCTAGGCGGGAGGCGAGTAGCCAGAGCAGCTGGCTTCCCCGGCTCGTCGGTTGATGTTCTCTCGCTTGGCCATCCCCTGGAATGGACACCTAGCCTCGGAGTCCATGCTGGGCCACAGGTCATCAGCCGGGAGTTTCGCATCCTCCACGGAAATGCCTCTGCGCTCGGCAAGGTCTAGTACGAAGATCCAGAAGGGTGCTCGGCGATTCGTCATGATAAAATACTCTAGGACGATCAGCTGACACTGACAGAGATATACTGGCTCGGCCTGAGAAGGACCTGCGAAGAAATACTGTCTATGGGAGAGGTCGGGCCGGGAGAGAGAGGACGAGCATAACCAATGGGAATCGGTATAATCCGTGAGACAGGAGACAGTCTGAAAACTCTTGCATGCGAACAGCCGCAACTTGACCCCTGGAAATTTTCGGGAAGACCTGATCTAATAGGATCAGCGAAGAATGAAAACATCGATTTCTTGCATGTGGGAGAACTCCCGCATCATGTGGTCGTGGTCTCAGAGAACCATCTGGCATTTGAGCAGAAATCGAATCTGCCGAAGACAACTCGGACACTCGATATTTCGCGATATTTCTCCTCCGGGTCATGATGGGGAAGGCTACTCGAGAACTCCACACGTGAAGCCGTGAGGCCAAAATTTTTTGAGACAGTGCTTTCTCTGGACTGCTAGACGATAGAGTGGACCATAATATGTAGACTGACTTCGTGTTGAAAATAGGTATTCACCAGTCTCACAGTGAGTAGGCATCTAGATAGGCTAAGAGGTATCCGAGGAGGCCACCAGAGTGCCTTTCCGTTAGCGTGCTGCTAAGATACGGGTGTCCGGGGTCTGTTTCCATCGTTTCGGTATCCTCCCGGCCGGCTGTTTGGTGTGTCCCTAAGTCCTTGGGCGTGTTGAACGGTGAGGTCATTTCTTCTCATGTGCTCGTTACTGAGTAGTCTCTATGAGGTCCTTTCTTTACGCGTATGCGGAATTGAGTTCCGGTTGGTTGTTTCCTGAGTTTGTCCGGGACTCGTTCCTGGAATTTAGCCAGTAGTTCTTCAAGTTTCTTACGGTCCTCGTCTAGTTGTAAGAGAGTTTTTTTTATGCGGATTCTGGTATTGTTCGATATTTCCCCTTCCGCCTCGATGATTCGTGGGAGCTGTGTTTGTTTGAGACATTCGGTGAGTTCTATTGCGGTATCTGCGACGCTTTCCTCAGTGGTGGGTTCGGTATCCCTAGCTGCTTTTGAGATGCTTATCTCGATGATATCGTATTCCTGGCTTGTCTCCCGGTTCGGCTCGTTTGCCCCGGGGCTCCCTCCCCAGGTCCTCTGCCTCTTTCTTTGCGGGAGGGAGGATTGGTGGTTTACGCTTTCTTGTTATGAGGCTTGGGTATTTTCTGTTCTGTGGTCGCTTTGCCCGAAGTCCTTCATCGGGGCTTGATCCCCTTTTCCACTACCACTGGCCCGTGTCAGTGGGCTCTTTTCACTCTCTTTCTTTTTCGTACCGGTGCACGTATAAATACCGGTGACTATTAGGCTAGTAAACACTGGAGAGAACCACCGTTATCGAACGGCGTCTCTGTTGCACTCGGTTCGTCTCCCCATTAGATTGTGAGCTACTACTGGCTGAACAGGATATTCTGGAACCGAATTTCTCCACATTATCAGCACGAATTGCTCGTGTATATTCCGACCACATTCGCAGTCAGTTTTCCGGTTTGACACATTTTAAACCTCCCCATACTTCGCTCATTTGACAAAACCCTGACTTAAAAATATGCCCGACGTTACGCCAGCTTCCGGATCGGATAGAAAACCTGACACCTCTGGAACAACTGAGGTGTCCGAGACGGTGGGTTACAAACCACCAGCTTGTCCAGTCCTTCTGGACGAGGATTGCCAGAATCACAATGCCCGGGAATCATTCATGATTGTTTCATTCACAATCGAGCCGAACGTCTGAGAGAAGTGATGCAAGCAAAAATTGCACGACCTGAAATCCCAGCAGATAAAACAGCTACCGATGAAGAGAAGAGAACTATGGAAAAATTCGACATCGCAAATCAGAGAGGCGGAATGATTACGTTCACCTCGATAAGCCCAGATCTCATTTTGATGGAATCTGTCTTTCCCGTGCTCGTTGTCACTACGCTTAGCTAGAGTCTTAGCTCCCTTTCCCTTAATTCAGTACCCGTATATATTTATTACGTGCTCCGCTTCAATGAAGTTTACTGGGCATAGTATGATGCTCTGGTGCTGTTGCTATTATCTTCTGTGCCTTGAGAATCCCCGAAAAGTGAATACGTTATCAGCACGATCTGTTCCACCATCCAACTTGGAAAGAACTAAGTAAGTCGACTTAGTATCTCAGACTTGGAAGTACGAGTCTATCATGGAAAGCTCGTTCGATGTGATGACCCCTCTTGGTACAGAAGACACCACGGAGACGTCCAAGAGAGCAGCTGCAGGAAAAGGAACTGAGGGTGAT